GAAGACTACGCTTTCATCTCTTGCTGGCCTTCAGGCTCTGCAAGTAGGAATGAAGCTAAGGCAGAGTTGTCAATAGCCTGGCTAAGTGTTCAAGGAGTGCCCTGACAGATCCAATTCGCAAAGACCAGGAGAATATGATTTCTTACTTAAAAAAAAATTCTTCCTGGTTTCCTTTGTTGGCTCCTAGCATTTAAGGTAACTGTCAAAATATCAGCTGTCCAATAAGCTAAAGGAACATAGACATCAGTGGCAAAGACTAGGGATTTTACAAGAAGTCACTAAACATGCAAACAGCAATCTACATAGACAGTAACAACAAACCCTGGAGAGGAAGGAAAATCTGAATTCCAGAGCTACCACATATTCTAAATTAAGTATTCAACAACAGCAACAACAAAAACACAAGCCATGCAAAGAAACGAATTATGGCCATTCACAGAAAAAAAAAGATTAATAGAAACTACATGAGACAGCCTAGGTATTGGTCCTACTGACCAAGACTTTAAATACACCGTCTTAAATATGCTCAAAGAACTAAAGAAAACCATGGACAAAGAACCAAAGGAAACCAAGAGAATGTTGTCTCAACATTTAGAGAATATCAATAAAGAGATAGACCTACTTAAAAATATATTTTTATTGATTTCAGAGTGAAATGGAGAGGGAGGGAGAGACAGAAAGATCAGTGATGAGAAAGAGTCACTGATTAGCTGCTTCCTGCACACCCCACACTGGGGACTGAGCCCACAACCTGGGCATGTGCCCTGACCGGGAATTGAACCCTGACCTGCTGGTTCATAGATTGATGCTCAACCACTGAGCCATGCTGGCTGGGTTAATGAGATAGATATATTTTAAAAGGAACCAAAATAGAAATTCTGGGGCTGAAGAGTATAAAAACAAATGAAAAAATTCACTAGAGGGGTTCAAAATCAGATTTGCACAGGCAGAAGAAAGACTCAGTGAACTTAAAGCCAGGTCAATTTAGATTATTCAGTCTGAGAAGCAGAAAGAGAAAAGAATGAAGAAAAAAACAAATAGCCTAAGAGTACTGTAGTCCACAGGGGAGAATACTAACATCCATAAAGGATGTAAGGACAAGCATAGATCAGTAGAACAGAATGAGAGTCTAGAAATGAACCCTTACATCTATGGTCAGTTAATTTTTTACAAGGATTCTAAGACCATTTAATGGAGGAAGAATAGTTTCTTCAACAAATGATGCCAGGACAACTGAATATTCACATGCAGAAAATGAAGTTGGGCCACTGCCTCATACCATATATAGAAATTAAATCAAAATGGATTAAAGTCCTAAAGGTTAAGAGTAAAACTATAAAACTCTTCGAAGAAAACGAGTAAAATTTCATGACCTTGGATTTGGCTTGGCTATGAGTCTTAAATATGACACTAAAAGCATAGGCAACAATAACAAGAAAATAAATTGGACTACACCAAAATTTAATCCTTTTATGCATCAAAGGACACTCACAAGAAAATGAGAAGACAATCTATAGAATGGGAGAAAATATTGTAAATCATGTATCTGGTTAGGATCCAGTATCCAGAATATAGAATGGACTCTTAGAACTCAACAACAAAAAGACCAGGTACTTATAAATTTGCAGCGGGGCCCTGGTCAGATAGCTCAGTTGATCAGAGCATTATCCTGATACACTAAGGATGTGGGTTTGATCCTGTCAGGGCACATACAAGAATCAACCCATGAGTGCATAAACAAGTGGAACAACAAATCAATGTTTCTCTCTCCAATCAATAAATGAAAAAAAAAAGGATAATTTGAATAGACATATCTCTAAAGGTGATATACAAATGGCCAGCATGCACATATTGACAAGATACTCAATATCATTAGTTGTAAGGGAAATGCCAATCAAAACCATAAGATAACCACTTCACAGTATGATGGCTGTAATAGAAAAGTGGATAATAAGTGTTGGTGAGAATGTGGAGAAATTGGAACCCTTATACATTGCTAGTGTGAATGTAAAACGATGCAGCCACTACAGGAAACAGTCTGGCAGTTGCTTAACAAATTAAACTGAATCCAATCTGAGATATATACTCAAAAGAATTGAACACATGCACGCAAACAAATACTTGTACACTTATGTTCATAGTAGCACTATTCACAATGGAGCCAAAGTGCAGGAACAACTCAAATGTCCATCACGTGAGAAATGAATAACCAAATGTGATGTATCCATACAATGGAGTATCATTCATCTATAAAAAGGGGGGAGTATGCTGATGCATGCTATATGTGGGTGACTTTCAAAACATTAAGCTAAGTGCCCTGGCCAGTGTGGCTTAGTTGGTTTGACGTCATCCTGTGCACCAAGGGGTTGCCGGTTTGATTCCCAGTCAGGGCACATACCTGGGTGGTGGCTCCATCCCCAGTGGGGGGCGTGCAGGAGGCAGCTGAACAATGATTCTCTCTCACATCAATGTTTCCCTCTCCCCCTCCCTTTCTCTCTGAAAAAAAAAAAAATCAATAATAATAATAAAAAAATCTTAAAAAACACACACACACAACATTAAGCTAAGTGAAAGAAACTAGACACAAAAGGTCACATTTTATTCCACTTGTATAAGATGTCCCGAATAGGTAAATCCATAGAGATAGAAAGCAGGGGCTGGGAAGACAGGGGAATGGAGATGCCTCCTTAATGGGTATGGGATTTCCTTTTTGGAATGATGAAAATGTTTTGGAACTCAATAGAGGTGATGGTTTCACAACATTGTAAATGTGCTAAATGCCACTGAATTTTACACTTTAAAATGGCTAATTTTATGCCGAAACCGGTTTGGCTCAGTGGATAGAGCGTCGGCCTGCGGACTGAAAGGTCCCAGGTTCGATTCCGGTCAAGGGCATGTACCTGGGTTGCGGGCATATCCCCAGTAGGAGATGTGCAGGAGGCAGCTGATCGATGTTTCTCTCTCATCGATGTTTCTAACTCTCTATCTCTCTCCCTTCCTCTCTGTAAAAAATCAATAAAATATATTTTTAAAAAAATGGCTAATTTTATGTTATGTGAATTTACCTCAATTTAAAAAAAAGGTATTTATGCAGCCCGAAAATGTGATGGATGACCTCCACCTGTCTCAAAGAGGGGTGAGAGGTGTTGAACCCTTGGAAGTAAAGTTCTTTACAGGTGTAGATGGGGGTCCCAGTGGGATTTAACATGTCTTGGTGTGTCTCACAAATGGAGGGTGGGTGGGACCATCAGAGGCCCCAGAACGAGCCAGAGAGCCCTGGCTAATCCAGGAAGAGGAGTGTTTCTGAGTATGTTCCTGTCATTTGGTGCAACCCCTTTTGGAGACATACCCAGATCTGTTGCTGAGCAGAGGAGCTGAGCGTAAACATTGGAAATCTGCTCTCTAAAATTCGTAAGACACGAAGGGCCCCGCAGTCCCATTGGGAGCCCTCTCAAGAGTGTAAGGCGAAAGAGAAGAGTCATCTCACTCCCAGGCATGGACGGGAAGGCCTCAGGCATGGGGGCGGCGCGGGAGGCGTGTTGGAGCAGATGCTTCCCGAAGGGACCGGGCTCCTGAATGACTGTGTGGGAGGCCCCACATGGGGACTCCCGTTCTAAGCACTTTACAGAAAGTCTACTTAGGGCCATGGCCAGTAAGATGATGAGTTATTATTGTTAAGGTTAATTCAAATTACATGGACAGCAGGGCCTCTGGTAACAAGAAATCTTTGTTGTATTACAAGGATTATTTCAAACCGTGCAGAAGCCACTCCTGTCAGCAGAGGGGGAGCCCTGGCCTTGGCACGTGTCTGGCACATAGAAGGTTCTCAAGACATATTTTTTGAATAAATGAACGCCATTAAGTTGTGTAATATCTAACAGCCAAAATGTCTCTGATTTCCTCCTTTGTGGCTGGAAGTAGGAAGAATGGCATGAGAAAACCAAAATAGTCAAATCACCTGCTGTCTTCCTCCATCTCCTTTCTTCATTAAAAAATAAAGGCCTGTTTGGGGGCCAAGAGGTTGGGAATGTGTCTAGAATAGATTCACACATGTGTGGCGACACCGAGGTACCACTGTTTGATATGTTTTTCTCTTGCTGTTAAAGTGACAACACAGGCTGGAGTGGGATGGGGTTGCATGTCTTGTAGAAAAGCGTACAGTATGGCAAGGGAGAGGTGGGGAGAGCACCCAGGAGTGCGTGGTTCTAGCCCAGGAGGTGGTGGTGTGGGCGGTGGGAAGGTGCCCAGGGACAGGATGTCATGCCCAGCGACTGCTCCCAAAGCAGGGAGTAGATGCGTCCGAAGGACAGCGGCTTGTAACCTCGCTGCTGTGTGAGTGGGACTGTGGGCAATTAGCTTGGCCTTCTTGCCTTTGAGCTGCAGTTACCTCATCTGTGAAAAGGGATGATGGTAGCCATACCTGTACTGTGCATTCTGTGTCCCAGAACATGTTCAGATAACAACTCATCTAATTTTTACGTCTGCATCACTAGGTGGGTTCTGTTGTTATACGAATTTTACAGATGAGGAAGCTGAGCATAGAGAAGCCAAGTCACTTGGTCATACAGTTAGTATTTGGAGGAGACCAATTCACACCCTGGGCTCTGTCTTAACCACTGCCCTGGCCTCATGGGCTTATCATGAGAATGGACATGGACAATGAATGGACATGTTAAGAACTTAGTCCAGCTATGCTGGCGTGGCTCAGTGGGTAAGCGTCGACCTAGGAACCAGGAGGTCACGGTTCAATTCCTGGTCAGGGCACATGCTCGGGTTGTGGGCTTGATCCCCAGTGTGGGGCCTGCAAGAGGCAGCGGATCCATGATTCTCTGTCATCATGGATGTTTCTCTCTCTCTTCTCTCTCTCTCTCTCTCTCTCTCTCTCTCTCTCTCTCTCTCTCTCTCTCTTTCTCTCCCCCCCCTCCCTCCCTTTCCCTTCCTCTCTGAAATCAATAAAAACATATTTTTAAAAAAGAACTCAGTCCAGCGTCTGGCACAGGACAAGTGTTCAGAACATCATAGCAGCTGTTAATAGTGTCAGAGTCCAAACGCACAGGTGAGGCTTCTTCCAACTCGAGCGGCAGATGTGTTGGCGCAATCAGCCACCTTCTCCAGGGGAGTGGGGAACAACACGTTCTGTTGGATCTTTACTTAGAGCAAATACAAACACCTGTGTGCTGTGTGGAAGGTCAGATCTGCTCGTCTTCCTTCATTTGGACCCAGCCCCCGGCTCCACTCGGCTAGGACTAGGTGAGTTGACCCCTCTCTCTGTTCCTCAGCCCCTGGGCTCTCGCCCACCGGGCATTGACCACATATTTGTGTAACTTCCCAGTCAAGAGCCAGCCTCTCCAAGGATCTGAGAGGTGCACAGGGGAACACACAGGATATGGCTGGTTGTCTGCGGTGATCCCTGGGGCGCTGGTGTAGAGACTGGGAATATGTGGGCAGCCCCCTCCCAGCCTGTTTTGGCAGTCTGCTTGTTAGAGCAAAATCCAGGTGTCAGAGAATTTGATTTTCTCTGTTTTCTTCCTGTGAAATATATATAATGTAGTTCTGTGTGTGAGGAAGAATCCGGTGATTCATATTTTCTGCTTATTTGGCTCCTGGCTGAATGGGAATTTGCATTACTTAACGTCTGGTTTCTTCCTTGGGAACCAAAATAAGTTTCCTATTATTAAGTAGATTTCAGAGCCCAATAATCCTTATTTTAACAGGTGGGATTTTCCTGTGTGGAGGGTGTCTGTGTTCTCTGAGGAGTTGATCCCGCTCTCATGTCCTCTGTCTCCACTGTCCTTGTCTGTTTGTGCAGGAAGTTAAACTCTCTCATTCTTAGGGTAGGAGCTTCTAAATGGCAGCTTGGGAGACTTCGACCTTGCAAACCAGGAGTAAATTCTTCATGCTCATCAGCTGTGGGGGAAGAGTTTGCGCTCCCTCCCTGCTCTTCCATCCATCAGCTTCAGACATGGCCACACAAACCACATGTTCAGCAGGACTTGGGTCTGGGGTCCATGGAGACACAATGTGTAGGGAACAGAATGGCACAGAGGCTCTAGTGTGCCCTGTCTGGGCTGATCAGGAAAATACAAAAACACCCCAAACCCCAAAACTCCTGCCCTTGAGGTGGAGCTTCTCCTAGGCTTGTTGAGGGGCTGTGTCTGGGAGCCCACAGGGTAGGTTCAATTAATTTTCTTTCTGATTGGTCCCATTTGTCCCCCAGACTGTAGGCTTCTTGAGGGCAGCTTCTCTCTTTCCCTTCCTCTCTCCTCTATGCCCTCATGTATGTGATGCCATTTGATATATGTGTACATTGTGAAAGGATTCCTACAATCGAGGTAGCTAACACATTCATCACCTTCCATAATTGTGTGTGTGAGAATGCTTAAGATCTATCAGAAATTTCAAGGTTATAATATTATTAACTGTAATCACCATGCTGAACATCAGAGCCCCAGAATTTATTCATCTTGTAACCAAAGGTTTGTATATGCTTTGACTAACATCTCCCCATTTCCCCGACCTCTGAGACCCTGGCAACCACCACTTTACTTTCTGTTTCTATGTGTTTGACTTGTGTGTGTGTGTGTGTGTGTGTGTGTGTGTGTGTTTTAAGGTTCCACATATAAGTGATACCATGCAGTGTTTGTCTTTCTCTGTCTGGCTTATTCACCTAACATAATTCTCTCCAGGTTCATCCATGTTGTTGCAAATGGCAGGATAATATTCTATTAAATATATATATATATATATATATATATATATATATATATATATATATGATATTTCCTTTATCCATTCATCCACCGATGGACACTTAGATTATTTTCATACCTTGGCTATTGTGAATATTTTCATATCTTGGCTGCAGTGAACATGGGCGTGCAGATATCTCTCCCGGATACTGATTTCCTTTCCTTTGGATATAAACTCGGAAGTGCAATGGCTGCTACTTGTGTGGGGTTTAGAGGTGCCAGGGGAGATCAAGCTGTGAACCAAGGTGAGCTGCCGCTAGTGCTGGGCCTGGGGCCACTTAGTGAGCGATATGGGGCACACTGGGGCCAGCTGCTGCTTGTTGGAGAGACTTTAGGAAAGTCTGAAGCATGAGACTAGACAGGCCCCAGGCCATTCCTATGGAAATCCCCTGGAAGTGGCTTGGGTGGGCCAGAAAGTTGAGTGGAGCAGGGTCTCAGGGAATCCAGGGTGTGGCAAACAATGTGAGCCAGGTTGATGAAGACTCAGGTGTGCTGCCCACCTGCCAACTCTGAGGGTCGAGGGCTCAGCAAAGGAACAGTGGCCTCTGCCTGCACTTCCGTCTGGGAGAAAGCTGCCCCTCCAGCCCTCACCCTAATGCTAGACAATTCAGTTCTCCATATGGAGCTTTTCAAGCTGCTGCCCCAATGCTGGAGGTCAGAGAGTGAGTCTGAGTAAGTCTGCGGTTGGGCCCTTAAAGAAGAATAACTGGGACTCCAGCAGCCTCTGTGTCACAGCCACAATCCCTGTTGGTTTTCACAGCCAGAAGTTATGGGACCTCTCTTCCTGGCACTGGAACCCTGGGCGGGGGAACCTGGTGTGGGGCTGGGAATGCTTGCTCCTCAGGAGGGACCTCCACAGGGGAGATATCCCTCCCATGGATGTGGGACCAGCCCCTTCCGAGTCTCTGCCCCTCCTACCAGTCTTGGTTCCTGGGTTGTTGCTCAACCACTGAGCCACATAGGCCAGGCTTTAGTTGTAATTTTGATGTGGTTATGGGAGGATGTGAGAACCACATTTACCTGCTCTGTCATCTTGACAGCCCTGCGCTCTTTCAGTCATGGGGGATGTATAGCTGTGTGTGGGTTCATGTAGGGAAGCTGTAGCTCTCAGGTTCAGGGTGTGCTGAGGTTGGGGGCACTGGCACACAGCCACTCCTTCTTGGGGGGAGGTGCCCAGCAGCGCCTCCCTCTCCAGGTTTTACAGTGGTGATGACATTGCTTCCCTCAATGGTGAAAGCTGCTGGTGGTCCCTGTAGAGCAGGCTGCTGGGGTCCATGCCGATGACCACCACAAGGTCCTCTGCTATGAAAGCTGTGGGAGCCTGTGGCTATTGCAGGGGCTGCTGAGGTCCTCTGTGGCAAGAGCTGCCAAGGTCCTTTGCAGAGCTGGCTTCTGGGACTGCAATGGCACCCACTGAGGAGCTGATCCAGAGAGCCCCTTCCCGTCTTAGTTCCCAGCCATCTCCAGATGTCTCGGCCCAGTCCTTCTCCCAAGCAATCCTTTCTGTGTGGTTATTCTCCTTTTTTGCTCCACTCTGTTGCTGCAGGTTCTTTTAAAATATATTTTTACTAGAGGCCTGGTGCACAAAATTAGTGCACTTGGGGAGGGTCTCTCAGCCTGGCCTGCGCCCTCTTACAGTCTGGGACCCCTCAGGGGGGATCGGGCCTTAGCCAGCAGTCAGAAATCCTTCTCGCAGTCCGGGACCCCTCGCTCCTTACCGCCTGCCTGCAGCGGAGGCGGGAGAGGCTCCCACCACTGCCATTGTGCTCACCAACCATGAGCTGGGCTTCTGGCTGAGCTACGCTCCCGCTGTGGGAGTGCACTGACCACCAGGGAGCAGCTCTTGTGTTGAGTGTCTGCCCCTTGATGGTCAGTGTGCATCATAGTGACTGGTCGTTCCGCAGGTCATTCCCCTGTTTGGTCGATTTGCATATTAGGGTTTTATTATATAGGATTGATTTCAGAGAGGAAAGGAGAGGGAGAGAGATAGAACCATCAATGATGAGAGAGAATCATTGATTGGCTGCCTCCTGCATACCCCACACTGGGAATCGAGCCTGCAACCCAGGCATGTGCCCTGAATGGGAATTGAACCGTGACCTCCTGTTCATAGGTTGTCCCTCAACCACTGAGCCATGCTGGCCAGCCTGTAGGTTCTTAATTGGACTCTTGAACCTTCCAATTATTTTCCTTTGTGCATAGTTTTCTAATAGTTGTTTTTTTGTCAGGGGATGAAGGCATCTCCTACTCTGCTGTCTTACTAATGCCACTCCAAACTATCTTGTCAATGGCCATTGTCTGCTGCTCTGTTGGCCTCACCATATTTGAAAAATAATAAAATTACTTTTAAAAACATGTGTAGAGTGGTGCAGTGATAGGAGAGTTTCATTCATTCTGACAGCAGCACCTAAGTGAGCCGGCCTAGAGCAGGAATTGGCAAACCTTTTCTGTAAGAGACAGATACATTTTTTCTGCTTTACAGGTCACATATGAGTTATATTGTTGGATCCCTGGAATTGTTGAGATTTCTTGGCAGGCCCTGGACTGATGGAAACTGCCTCAGCTCTATGCCAGCCCACATGCATCCTGGGAGCCAGTCAGCTTTGGTGGGGAGGAGCCTGAGTTATCAGGGGGCAGGTCCCCTGTAGTGGAATATTTATTGGTTGGTGTATTTTCACATTTATCAGAACCAGGGGGGAAGATCTAGGCCTGTGTTCTCCAATGGAAATATGTCAGCCATGTGTGTAGTTAAAATCTTTCTGGTAACCCTATTTAGGAAAATAAAAAGACCAAGAGAAATGAAAACATATGTCTCCCACGACTGTTTATCCACAACAGCTAACTGTGGAAACAACCCAGATGAATGGAAACAACTGATGAATGGATGAACAAATGTGGTCCATCCACACGATGGACTATTACTTGGCAATAAAAGGAAATGAAGCTAGTCACAAAAGACCACCTATTGTATGATTTCATGGCTATGAAATGTCCAGAAGAGGCAAATCCATAGAGACAGAAAGGAGGTTAGTGGTTGCCAAGGGCTGGGGGGAAATAGGAAATGGGGAGTGACTGCTAATGGGCACGAGGTTTCATTTGAAGGTGATGAAAATGTTCTAAAATCGATTGTGGTGATGGTTGCACAGCTTTGTGAATATACCAAAAGCCAGTGAGTCAGTGAGTTTTACACTTTAATTGAGTGAGTTAATTGTATGGTACGTGAATTATATATCAACAAAACCAGTTTCAAAAGTAAAAAGAGCCCTGGCCGATGTGGCTCAGCTGGTTGGAATGTTGCCCCGTGCCCTGAAAGGTTGCCAGTTTGATTCCCAGTCAGAGCACATACCTAGGTTGGGGTTTGTATGAGAAGCAACCAATTGATGATGTTTTTCTCTCACACCTCTCTCTCTCTCTCTCTCTCTCTCTCTCTCTCTCTCTCTCTCTCTCTCTCTCCTTTCTCCTCTTCTAAAAAATCATTAAAAAGAAAAGTAAAAAGGAAGAA